GTAGGGTTTCCAAGGAGCGGCTGGTGGATTCGAATTGCCGACACTTTGGTTAGAAGCGGAACTCTTAACCCTGCGCCACCAGGGTAATTTGTTGGATATTCCAAGGTTCCATTTAAAGTAGGTAGCTGGCAAAGTACCCAAAGACTGTGACTTTGCCCCAATAATAATGATGATAATGAACGTATTGTGTGCACTTACTACTCACCAGGAACTCCTCCAAGCATTTGACATGTATCGACTAATGTGATTCCCCACCTTGGCTTTGAGATGCGTTCTTTATTGTGCCTTTTTTACAAGTGAGGAAGCAGAAGCACAGAGATGTTAGGGAACTGGCCCAAGACCATAAAGCTAGTCAAGCGATAGAGGCGGGTTTCAGATCCAGGTGGCCTGGCTCCACTGCAATGCATTGATTCCTCTTGCAGATAGAGAGAAATAATTGCAGCAGCCTCAGCTAGGGAGGTGCTTTGTTGCCTGTGTTTTTGCTCAGGGAACTCACTGTTAGGCCTCTCCCTGGAACCCGCCTGGGTTGGGACGGAGGGTAGACAGCAAGCAACCTCCCTCGGGATCTGGGGGATCTGGTTCAGACGGGGCTGGAAACAGAGAGCTGGCAGGGGGCGTGGAGAGGTTTAGGGAGTCCAAAGCGCACCTGCTTTCAGTGGGGGAGCTGAGCATGGATACTGCCTTCCACCTGCTCTCATCTCAAGGAGGACCCTGTGAGGAGATGACCCCATGGCCAAGCATACAGGAAATGGGGAGTCAGACAGACTTTCTCTCTCTAGGCATGACCTTGAGAGACACGAGAAAATAAAACAACCTTATAAGACAACTGTGAGCATTTATTTTGATTGTGAACATCGAGGAAATAATGAGTGAAGTGCCTAGTGCTAGGCATAACACACGGTCGTTGTTAGGTGCCATCAAGTTCATTCCGACCCCTGTGACCCCATGTGTGCAGAGCGGAACTGCTCCATAGGGTTTTCAAGGCTGTGACCTTTCAGAAGCAGATCACCAGGGCTGTCTTCTGAGGCACCACTGGGTTGGTTCAAACCATCAACCTTTTGGCTAGTAGTCAAGTGCGTAACCGTTTGCTCCACCCTAACACATAGTAGGCAGTTAAAAATAATGTCTGTTATTGTTGCTGTCGTTCTTATCATTGTTCAGAGCAGTGGTTCCAGAGCACATTGTAATCACCCCAGGAGTATAGGAAGACAATATAAGACATCTACTTATATTTATTTTTAATCTCATCATTTGCTAATTTGGAGCCCTGGTGGCCCAACAGTTAAGAGCTCAGCTGCTAATGAAAGGGTTGGCCATTGGAATCCACCAGCTGCTCCTCAGAAACCCTATGGGGCAGTTCTACTCTGTCCTATATGGTCGCTATGAGTCAGAATTGACTCAACTGCAATGAGTTTTTTTGTTCTGGTTCCTGATTTACCTTTGTATGTATAATGCTACATACAGAATAAATAAATATACATATATTAGGTGAGTGCTCAAATATGTTTCAGCCGAAAATTTTGAAGACTACTGGATTAGTGATGAACTGAGGTCTAGACATGTGAATGGAGGGGTGTGGAACAGAAGGAAGAGTAGAACAATAGTTTGCTGTCGCATGTTTTCTGAGGACCCAAGGTTATGTTTTTCCAGGAGTAGTGGCTTTAGTTGTTTCTCATGGAGGCATAGGGGTGGCAGAGTGTCCAAGTGGTCACACACTAGGAAGTTAGCATATTCAGGGATTTGGCATAGTTTAGGGTGAGATATAATAGCCATAACAATGAACTCAAACATACCACAGATATGAAGACGGGAAGGCGCAGGACCAGGCAATGTTTTGTTCTGTTATACATAAAGTTGCCATGAGTCAGTGCCGACTAGACAGCAACTAACAGCCAGAGTGAGATAATTATGAAACAAAAACAAGTCTCCACCTTTAAACATTACTTCCCTAATTGCATCATGACCCTCTCAGGTCAGCATCTCCCAGCTTCTCCTCATATTTCTTCTCTAGCCACCCTGCATGCAGCAAGCCCAGGGATGGTTGTAGAATTGTACATCCACTCAGGTCACTCACCAGTGTAGAGCCCCTCAGTGGATCTCACCGCACTCGAGCAGAATCCAGGCTCCTCTCCTGACCTGCAAGGCTTTCCACACGCTCACTCCTGCCCACCTCTAGCCTATCTACAGGCACCGCCCCTGCTCACGACACCACAACATTCTGGACGTTTCTTTCTGTTTCCCAAATACACCCAGTCCTTAGTGTCTGCTGTTCCCTTGGGCTGATACCCTTGTCCATACCAGCCTCTTCCCTCTCAACTTCCAGGTGTCAGTACAAATGTCACCTCATCAGATAAGCTTTTCTTCACAGCACCCACCCCTCCCTAAGTTACTATCACCTGTGCATTTTCTTCACAGCACTTATCAAATGATATATTGTATTGGGCAAATTACTGCAAAAGACCTCTTTAAAATCTTAAAAAGCAAAGATGTCACTTTGATGACGAAGGTGCACCTGACCCAAGCCATAGTCTTTTCAATCCCCTCATATGCATGCGAAAGCTGGACAATGAATAAGGAAGACAGAAGAAGAACTGGTTCATTTGAACTCTGGTGTGGGTAAAGAATACTAAATGTACATAGACTGCCAGAAGAATGAACAAATCAGTCTTAGAAGAAATACAACCCGAATGCTTCTTAAAAGTGAGGATGGAGATATTTCGGCTCGCTTACTTTGGCTATATCATCAGG